TATTTCAGAACCCCCTTCCCCTCCCCCATTTCTGAAGAAGGGTCTAGGCCCGAAACGTCAGCCTTCCTGCTCCTCTGATGCTGCTTGGCCTGCTGTGTTCATCCAGCTCTACACCTTGTTATCTCAGATTCTCCAGCATCTGCAGTTCCTACTATCTCATGCCATCTGTCCTGTTTGGTTTGGATCCAATATTTATCTGATTACTGTCTCACAATTGTGAATGTAAAGCTCTATACAAATGCAAGTTGTTGTTACATTTCTTAATCAATTTAACAAGTATCCAACTTGATTAGTTACAAATCTGTGGTCACATGCCAGGATTGCCAATACTCACATTACATAGCGCCCCATAGCGCAATATAGAAAGGAGTGAGTGTACATGGCTCTCACTTGTAAAGTATAACCTAGTACGGACATGCCTCTCTGGTGATAAGACTCCTCTTGAGTATCTGGAAAAATAGGAATAAAACAGTAATAAAATTAGATAATAATTTTTAGATTAGATTTACTTTTACATTTAGATTATACCTGTCAGAAGCAAATTCTAATTCTATGGCTGTTTCTTGGATCAGAATTTATTGCCATTATCATCTCATTTTATTGATGATTTTCTTGATTTTGCCCCTATCTTTGTCTCCTGAAATCCAAGAGATGTAGGTGTGAGTGTACCTACAGCACAACTGTGTTAACCATCAAATGTCAGATTTAGTTGAAGATGAAATGCTGCTGGGGTGTGCATTCCTCTGATAAAACAGTTTCACTATTCCAGAATTATGTAAAAAACAAAAATAATCTCCAGCTTCCTTTTTGCACAGTCATACCTACAAAATATATGAATTAGGAGCAAGAAAAGACCATTCAGCTCTTCAAGCCTGCTGTGTCATTCAGTAAGATTGTAGCTGATTAAATTATGATCTCGTCTCCCCAACCCTTATAATGAGTGACTCCTCTGTTGGTCAAAAATTTATCTATTTGTCTTAAAAATATTTATTAACACTTCCCAGAGAGCAGTAGAGAGAGTTCCAAAGTCTCCTTGACTTTCAGAGAAACAAATTCTCTCATCTCCATCTTAGATGGGAGACCCCTATTTTAAACCGTACCCTCTAGTTGTGGTGTCTTATATAAGAGGAAGTGTTCTTTCAGTAAACAACATATAAATCCCTTTATGATATTATATGTTACAACAGGATCACCTTTCATTCTCCAATGGGTCCAGGCACGAGACATATTATCAGCAATATAGTGCTGGCCTTGGATGAAACACAGACAGACAACATCTGAGCAAGATGTGAGAAAATAGTAGAAATGTGGGAATTATAATACACAATACCGTAATATTTTGTTTAAAATTGGGAGGCATCTGTAACTAGCAAAGTTAGCTTTAAACTTTAAAGTCATAAAACTAGTTCTCCTTACATACTCTTGAAAATAAACAACAGTTTAATGGTTTTCCCGAATCTTCTTTCATTTGCCAAGTTGTTTGAACACTAAAGGTAAACCCCACCCTTGGCCAATCTCAACAATCTGTCCAAACACTTCGGCTAGTGAAAGGCAAGCAATCAAAGCACACTGTACTTTTCAAGTTGGCCCACTTAACCCTTTGATGCAATAGAAACAGGTCAGGTGCCTGGAGGGGCAGCCTTTAACACAAACTTTATACCATTCTAGCCAATTTCATTCAATCCTCAGTTACTGGTCCTGCAGATTCCTTGGCTGGAACATGCCTTCATTTTTTTTTCAGGCATTTGGACAATAGCATTCATTAAATATGAAACACAGAAATAGACAATTTCGTCCTTCAAGGCTGTTCCACCATTCAACTTGATCATGGCTGATTTTCTGTCAGTCATTTTCCGTGCATTGTCCCTTATCCCTTGACACCTTTAATATCTGGGAATCTAATGCTTTCTGCCTTGAATATACTGGCTGACTGAATGCCTTCTGGAGTACAGAATTCTTCATCAGTCTTAAATGACTGACTTCTTATTTCTAAGACTGTGTTCCCTGATTATGACACCCTTCCAGCCAACTAGGAAATTCATTCAAGCATCTATCCTGTCAAACATGGATGTTTCAACAAGATCACCCCTCATACACCTAAACTTTAGAGAATACAGGCCCAGTCCACTATCTCTCTCCAATTTGACAATCCACCATTTCAGGCATTAGTCTGGCAAAAGTATATGCTTTCTTGTATATAGAGATCAAAAATCTATACACAATAGTCTAGGCATGGTATCACGAAGGCTCTACACATTGGCAGCAATCCAGTACTTAAAATCCTCTTTCAATAAAGGCCAATATAATATTTGTCTTCCTAATTGCTTGCTGCATCTGCATATTTCAACATCACTCTTTGAAATTCCCTCCTGGAGCCAAGGAGTTTACAGAATAATTGGGCCTTAATTTCTGCAGATATTTGGAGAGTAGCAGCCATTCAAATCCACAGGAAGGAAGTTTTTCTTTTCATTTTTATATTTTCTCAATGTAATGCCCCAAAAGACTTTTTGCATTTTCACATCCTGTCCAGACAAGCAGGTTAACTTACAGTTGTTATACTGCTTCATGTACAATGTCAGATATGGGAAGTTAACTGATCTACTGATAATCTTGTTTCAATGCAGACTCTGCATTTCTGTTTTCTGTTTACAGGTAGAGGCTACTTTTCTGTAAATCCTACAGTATAAATTTGTCAGCATGATTTGTGTAATAAGAGTCAATTAAACGTGTTAATAATTATGTTAGAGAGGTTTATTACTGGCTCTTCGTCAAAAAATGTGATAAGCAATGTGGATAAAAGGGGGAATCAGAAGATAATATATGTGGATCTCCAAAAGACATTCAGTAATATCTTTCCCTATTCCCTGATTGATGTAAAACACCAATCATCTGTTATCCTACCCTTATTTTCACAATGATAGCATATCTACAGGCGTCTGGATAGAGAATTTCAAAGGTTCATATCTCTTCGAGTGAAGAAATTTTTCTTCACAACAGCCCTAAATTATCAGTTCCTTAACTTGAACCTGTGCTCCTTGTTCTAAATTCCTAAGCCAGGAGAAGCAATGTCTTAATCTTGAAGGTTTCAACAAAATCACCTCTCATTCTTCTAAACACCAGAGCATATAGATCCAAGTTTCTTAGCCAGACATCATAGGATAAATGTTTCACCCCAGAGACCAATCTAATGAACATTCACTGCACTACCTCCAATGCAAATATGTCCTTCATTAAAGATGGAAGGCAAATGGGATATTGGCCTTTATTGCATGAAGATTTTAAGGACAGCAATAAAAAAGTCTTGCTGCAATAATGTACAGTTTTGGTGAGACCACTCCCATCCAGAAAGACAGAGCAGCAGATAAATGGGAATACGACCAGCTGAAAGTTTCCCCTCTAAGCCACTCACTATCCTGACTTGCAAATATATTACTGTTTTATCAGTGTCACTGGGCTGAAATCCTGGAACTTCCTCCCAATGGCAGAGTGGGTCAGCAGTGAACTGCAGTAGCTCAAAGTGCCAGCTCACCTCAACCTTCTCAAGGGTAACTAGGGATGGGCTGTAAATCCCAGCTAGAGATGCCCACATCCCATCAGTAAATATTAAAAAGACCAAAGTTGCACAGCATTCTGTATGTCATCAGGGTTTCATACAACTGCAGCAAAATTTCTTATACTCGGTACACCAATCGCCTTGCATTAAAGGCTGATATGTTTTTCTAATTATTGCTACGTCTGCATGTAACTTTTTAAGGTTCTTTGTACAGGTGCATTTCAGTCTCTCTGAACATCAACATGTACAAAAATATTCTGTTTTTCTATTCTTCCTATCAGACTAAGTAATCACACATTTAACCACTTTCAATCTCGCGACTCCCATTCTTTCCCACTTTCACCTAACCTGATACCCAGATTTTCTGATAGCCAGATGATTGTTTCCAGAGTTGCACTTGGGGACCCTATAAACCCCCTCGAATCAGACTCTGAGGAATCAAATGGTAAATTGTAGATTCTGCTGGACAATTCCCCTATGCTTGAACCCTCCAAAAGAATCCATTTAAATCAGAGAATTCGAGGGATATGAAGTTGAGTAATAGTTAGCCAGGAAAAGGTATAGAGAGTATGTAGTCTAATTCCTAAGTAACTATTAAAAGAACTTCCAACTTACCTCACACACCCTCAACTACATCTCCTCCAGACCCCAATGCACCCCAGACACTAACCTGAAAACTCTTTGGCACTTGACAACACTTCCTGCCATAGCCCTGGGACCCAAAGCCCCCCATTCGAAAGACAGCCCCTGGCTTCTGAACCCTCCTCCTCCTGTGCCAAATCCTACACCCAATTTTTGACATCTCACTACTGCATCCAATCAGCTCTTTCCCCTGCTACTGATATATCCTGCTCCAAACCCAACAACCCTTTCATATCAACAAATTCCCCTACCCCCCACCACCAAACCCAATACCCTATATACATTTCAGAAGACACAAAAAGCGGTGTAATTTGCCTACCCCCAACTATTCTGCTCTAGGAAGGGCCTATCAGAATGGAAGATTGGCTTCACATTTCTGAAGGAGTCCTGCTCAGATTCCCCCGTCTAAAATATGGAACTCTTTTGTTGCACTGAACACTCCTCAGCAAATGTGACTGTATGTCATTTTGAAACGTTTTGTGTCCCCTCACAACTTAATTCTCACTTAGTCCTATATTGTCAGCAAATTTAGATATATTTCTTCTTGTTTCTTCATCTAATTCATTAATATGGATTTTTAATAGTTAGCCCCTAACACATGAGGAAATACTTCTCTTCAAGATTCAGACAAAGTTTCTACCCTTCTGAAGTCAAGTTGGACACAAAGCAGCCTTGCTCACTTAGACAGTTCTTAAAAATAATCTGTTGGTTATGTGACCAGTATATTAACAAAGTAAACAAAAACAAATCTTAAGAGAGTTGTGCACTTCTACTCTGAAGTCATCTATCCAAAGTAACACTGCCTGAATAGGATTTAAAAATAGAAAAATTACTGTTGTTTAAACTCCTTAGAAAATTAATAACTATTCAGAAACCCTTACAGTGGATGGAGTTTGTTAACAGTGTCATCATCCTGAGTTCTTTGCAAGTCAGAACGAATTTTCCTTATCAAAGGAGTACAATATGCTTTGGCAATATCCATCTTCTCAGCCTTGGTAATGCCATATTCCTAAACAAAATAAAATTCAGCAAATTCAAGAAAAAATGAACTTTAAAATGTTTTAGAACATCAAGAATTGAATCACAGCCCTGGTACATTCTCCACTGCAATGCCTGAGTTGACTTGCCAACCCATCAGCAACATTTCCTCATGCAATATAAATTGTTGCTTCCTTTGACATGTAGTATTATTGTATCTGCCCTGATGAATGCAAGAAAAAGCTTTAACAACATTTTTTTTTGAGCTACACTCAGATTAGTAAGTATCAAGCTTTTGTGTGTTGCAAAATTACTTCTCCCTTCTGCACTGCATTTTAAAGGAACACAGCACCAGAGCTCTTCTTAAGAAAATGAAAAGCAAATAATACAACATACATAGCTTCAAGAAACAACTATAAAGAGTAACTAAGAACTTTCATTTATGTAACACTTTATCACATCTTCAAGTAAATTCCAAAACACTTCAATTAATTAATTGCTCTAATAATATACAGGCAAACACAGGGATGAGAAGACACATGGCAAGATCTGACAAATGGCCCACGGGAGGAGAAAGGGGTAAGAGTTAAAAAGTAAAAAATAAAAGAAGAAAACAGATAATGAAGCATCTTCCTCACAAAGGAATAAAAGGAGCCAAATTAGCTTCCATTTAGGCTCATTACCTGAGGTATCACAATGTCAGCCAATGACTTTGATAACTGATACAGTTCCATTGTGTTCTCCAGTTGTAGGGAACTGTTGTGTTGAACATCATACTTTATGCAGTCATAGATATCAGGAATTTTGCTGATATCATAACGCCCATTTTTCAATTTGACGTCCTTTTCTAATTTAGCCCATCTTCGCAACATCAACTCAAGCGATTCACTATGGTAAAGTTGAATATCTATATATACACATAGAAAGCAGTAAAAAATTTTTAGATTTAGGTTTGAAAAAATGTTGACTTTGTAAAGAAAGTGCTAGGTCAACATGAGCAAAATGACTGAAAAATCTAAGACAGAGGCTCTAGGTTTTAGCCATTTACCTTCCTAATTCTGACCTACTTCTGATCTTACATCTTGTGGTCCTATGGAATGCCAAATTTGTGTTCCTTGTATGATTACACCTCATTCCTCTGAATATCAATACGTGTAAATTTCATGCCTTTTAAAACAAAAAAAACTTATTTTCTAATCTTCTTAACAAAGCGTAGACCTTCATACTTCCCCATATTGTACACCACGTGCTACCTAGTTGCACACTGACTACACCTGTCTATTATATCTCTTTACAGCCTTGCAGCCTCCTCACAGCTTACAATCCCACCAGGCTTAGCATTACTGACTGTGTGGTTCACTACTATGTTGTTGTTCATCCTTTGAGATGAAGGTGACAATGTTCATCTTCTGGAATATTTGAAAGAGGCTTGGCGGGTACATAGGTGACTGTTAAAGCCAATCTGCATTCAGAATGTTCTGCCGCAAATAAGTCAGGACTGCACAGACAACTGAATTTTTGGATGAACTGCTGGATTGGGATTTCTTCTTGCATTTCCTTTTTGCCTCTGATATGGAAACTGCAACATCTTTTTTTATTGCAGTGAACTTCTCAATTGCAATGAGCTTCTCCTAGAACTCATAGTTGATAGAAAAAGTCCCAAGTGAAGGCTTCAGAGTGCCAGGAGTTTGACAGCATGGAAAGAGGCCCATCTGTGCCAAATTCCCATGCCAGTAATCAGGCACATTCCAGCTCTAGTCCCAATTCTCAGCACAATGCCTGCAACCTTGTATTCAATGGAGCTTCAAGTGATCCTCTAAATACTTCTTTAAATGGTACCCACCTCTACTACCCTTTCCGGAACTGAATTCAAGATACCCACCACTCTTAGGTCAAAGTCCTTAAATTCCCCCTAAACCTCCTGGCCTTTATCTTAAATCCATGCCCTCTGAGAGGAAAGGTTTCTTTCCGTCTATCCTACCTATGTCCCTAATAATGATGTACACCTCAATCAGCTACCCCTCAATCTTCCCTGCTTTACTGACAACAATATCAGCTTTTTTAAGCTCTCTTAATATCCAAAAGCATTCCAGTCCAGGTAAACCTACTCTGCACCCTCTCAAGTTCAATCACATCATTCCTACAGTGTGCTGACCAGAACTGCACAAAGTACTCCAGCTGCGACCTAAATAATATCTTAGCTGCATCACAACTTTCTTGCTCTTGCATTCAAAACCTTGACTAATCAAAGGAGGGATCATATGTCTTCTCAAACTCTATGTGCCTGATCTGTTTCCTTTAAGGATCTATGGACATGCACATCAAGATCCCTCTAATCCTTTAATTTCTAGGGTCCACCATTCATGCACTCCCTTGTCTTATTAGTCGTCCCAAAGTGAACCACCTCATATTTTTCACTTGATTAAATTTCATTTGCCATTTTTCTATCCATCTAACCAGACTACCTACATCATTCTGTAGTCTAAGGCTTTCCTCCTTGATATATACAATTTTTGTGTCATCTGCAAACTTACAGATTAAACCTCCTATGTTCAAGTTTCGATTTAATAGAAGTTTTCAAAATCTTGAGTGGGCTGGCTAAAATAGATAGGGAAAAGCAGTATCCACTTGTAAAAGGAACAAGAATGAGAGGGCTATCTCGACTCCATTTTCTCCCCCTTGGTCCAGGAACTCCCTACCTATGTCCGTGACACCACCCACGCCCTCCACCTCCTCCAGAACTTCCAATTCCCCGGTCCCCAACACCTCATCTTTACCATGGATGTCCAGTCCCTCTACACCTGCATTCCCCATGCAGATGGCCTTAAGGCCCTCCGCTTCTTCCTGTCCCGCAGGCCCGACCAGTCCCCCTCCACTGACACCCTCATCCGCTTAGCCGAACTCGTCCTCACACTCAACAACTTCTCTTTCAATTCCTCCCACTTCCTACAGACAAAGGGGGTAGCCATGGGTACCCGCATGGGCCCAAGCTACGCCTGCCTCTTTGTAGGTTACGTGGAACAATCCCTCTTCTGTACCTACACCGGCCCTAAACCCCACCTCTTCCTCCGTTACATTGATGACTGTATCGGTGCCGCCTCGTGCTCCCACGAGGAGCTCGAACAGTTCATACACTTCACTAACACCTTCCACCCCAACCTTAAATTTACCTGGACCATCTCTAACACCTCTCTCCCCTTCCTGGACCTCTCTGTCTCCATATCGGGCAACCACCTCGAAACCGATATTCATTTCAAGCCCACCGACTCCCACAGCTACCTAGAATACTCCTCCTCCCACCCACCTTCCTGCAAAAATGCTATCCCCTATTCCCAATTCCTTCGCCTCCGCCGCATCTGCTCCCAGGATGAGGCATTCCACTCCCGTACATCTCAGTTGTCCTCGTTTTTCAAGGACCGTAACTTCCCCTCCTCGGTGGTCGAGAACGCCCTCAACCGTGTCTCCCACATCTCCCGCACCTCATCCCTCACACCCCGTCCACGCAATAAGAACCAAAAAAGAATCCCCCTCGTCCTCACGTACCACCCCACCAACCTCCGGATCCAACGCATCATCCTCCGACACTTCCGCCATCTGCAATCCGACCCCACCACCAAAGACATCTTTCCCTCCCCACCTTTATCTGCTTTCCGGAGGGACAACTCTCTCCGTGACTCCCTTGTCCGCTCCACACTCCCCTCCAGCTCCACCACACCCGGCACTTTTCCCTGCAACCGCAGGAAGTGCTACACCTGCCCCCATACCTCCTCCCTCACCCCCATCCCAGGCCCCAAGAAGACTTTCCACATCAAGCAGATGTTCACCTGCACATCTGCCAATGTGGTATACTGCATCCGCTGTACCCGGTGTGGCTTCCTCTACATCGGGGAAACCAAGCGGAGACTCGGGGACCGCTTTGCAGAACACTTACGCTCGGTTCGCAACAAACAACTGCACCTCCCAGTCGCGAACCATTTCAACTCCCCCTCCCATTCCTCAGACGACATGTCCATCCTGGGCCTCCTGCAGTGCCACAACGATGCCACCCGAAGGTTGCAGGAACAGCAACTCATATTCCGCTTGGGAACCCTGCAGCCCAATGGTATCAATGTGGATTTCACAAGTTTCAAAATCTCCCCTCCCCCCACCGCATCCCAAAACCAGTCCAACTCGTCCCTGCCTCCCTAACCTGTTCTTCCTCCCCCCTATCCCCTCCTCCCACCCCAAGCCGCACCTCCATCTCCTACCGACCAACCTCATCCCGCCCCCTTGACCTGTCCATCCTCCCTGGACTGACCTATCCCCTTCCTACACTCACCTTTCCTGGCCCCATCCCCGCCTCTTCGACCTGTTTGTTTCCTCTCCACCTATCCTCTCCTCTATCCCTCTTCTATCCGCCTCCCACTCTCTCCCTATTTATTTCAAAACCCCCTTCCCCTCCCCCTTTTCTGATGAAGGGTCTAGGCCCGAAACGTCAGCCTCTCTGCTCCTATGATGCTGCTTGGCCTGCTGTGTTCATCCAGCCCTGCACCTTGTTGTCTAAGAATGAGAGGGCGTAGATTTAAAGTAGTGTGCAGAAGTAATAAGGATGATATGAGAAAAACCATTTCATGCAGCAAGTAATTAAGGTATGGAAGGCACTGCCTGCAAATGCAGTGGAGGCAGACTCAATTGAGGCAATCAAGAGGGCATCAGATGATTATTTGGATAGCAATGGTGTGAAAAGGTATGGGGGGAAATAAAAAACAGGAAACTGGCACTAGGTAATGATGCTCGTTTGAGCAGCTGGTCTCCGAACGGCCTGCTTCTGTGTTGTAGTAGTTTTATGATGTTAACACTTTCTCACTCCAAAATGCTGTCAGACTCCCTGACATTCTCTAGCATTTTGTTTTTTTAAAGATATTCCATATACTTAGCTTTAAAAATACAGACCAATTCAATGTTGGTCTTTGAAACTGTCTACTTTTTAAATAAAAAGTCCATGTGCTGCAAAGATGGCTTACAGTCAGATGACTTCACTTGTGCATTCAAAAACTGCCTCTCGAGGACAAAATGATACATTCCAGACAGAACTGTTGACCACAGCCATGCTAACTCCAATAGAAATCATTCCTGAACTGAAGGGTTTCTTTTAAAACAAAGGTGGTAATTGTTGTAACCTACTCAGGATGCAAGTCTTAAACAAATAAATGTAGGATGTGGCTAAATCAACAAATACCACCTTCATATTGGAAAACTAAAGTGAAATTGAGAAGTCACTTGGTAGGGCAACTATGTTTATTCCTTAAATGCTGACTGCAGAAAGTAAGAGAAGCACAGATAAAAAGGCAGCAACACCGATAACAAATAAAACACCAGCAACTTTAAAGTCGCAGGGTTACCAATTCTGTTCCCTTTTGGGTCCAACAATACAACCAGCTGACCTCCTGGTAATGAGACTACAAGCATCTAACTTCATGACCATCTTTTCCACCTCTTTGTAAGAATCATAAAATAATTTTAGCATACAACTTCAGCTGAAGTCACCGAAACTAAGTTTCGGGAGTTAATACAAGTTCCTCATTAGGCCTGCAGTGTGTTTTTCCAATTAATTAAAAGGCAACCTTTCTTCTTGTAATTTTATAAAAGGAACCTGTTTGAACATGTTATGACAAATCTGATAGGTGGGACTTGAACTTGGACTTTCTAGCCTAGCAGCAGGAACACAACCACTGCTCCACAAGAACCCAAAGGGATTCAATCTCTTGCTGTTGCCGTTAACCTGTTCACACACTAGCTATGCAGCTCGTTAACTGCCACTCTGCACTTGTCTTCAACTGTATTCTCCAAATATATTTGCCTGCATAACTCAGAGTAAGTGCTATGGTGATAAATTGTGGGATGATTACATAAATAAACAATTCTCTTTTCCCCATTCATAGCTAGAAGAAACTTGCTGCTAGTTATTCCAATTGTTTACACACGCAGTGATTAACATGCATTTACACACATCCTTTCCACTCAAAAGCTCAGTGATCACAGACAGTTGTTATGGGAAAACAGATTTCATCAGTTTTCTGCCACCTGTCCATTACCTGAATTTTTCTACCAAAATACATCACCTCATAGTAAATGTTCTTCACCCATTTAACCACCCACTTAATCTGCAAGTTTTGTCTTCTTGTATTATATTGCACCCTATGTGCTAGCTATACTCCAATATTCACTCTTCAACTTGATATCTGTGCAAATATTGATATTAATTACTTGTTCCTAGTCTAAATCATTAATATAAATGATGAACAGCAATGGTGCCAGCTCAGATTCTTACAGAACACCACGTTTTACCTTGTGCCAATCTTTATCCCTGTTGTCTGCCTTTAAATCTTTTTAATCCATTCAGCTCTTTATCATAACTTGATGTGCCCAAATGTCTGTACTGAGTCCATCTAGTCATATACTACTGAAGAATTTTGATATTGTAGAATACTCTTATTTCTTGCCAATTTACTTTCCCAGTTCTTCTGAATTCCTAGTCATTTATTTTGACATTTTTTCTAGTGCCTTCAAGTTCTCTTTTAGCATCTATTCCATCATCAAAGTATAACAGAAATATCTTACCAGCTGATTTGGGGTCTTCCATCCTCTGTCTAATTTGGGATGTCAGGCTTTGAATTAGGGCATAAACCTTATCACAAGTCTTTACAGGGTTTTTGATTAGCTGCATTGACCTAATTATAGAACTGCTTTTAGTAGGAGCAAGCTGAAAAAGAAACAAAAATGTTGAACTATTACACACCATAATAAACATCGAAACTTAATTAAGAAACAATATTCATTAGTTAAGTTAGTTTCTTTGGGAGTAAGAAATGGAACAAAAAGGCAAAGGTGTAACGGTTAAAAGAGAGAAAGAAAGTAAAAGAAACAACAGCACAATTTCTGATCATTATGCAACAAAGGAATCATTCTTTCACACTGGAAGATGTGCAGAGAACAGTTAAGATGTTGACCTAGAGGGAGAAAAGTTCCCCATGGCTATGAGAGCCTTAACACCCAATGACAATCAATAGTCTGTCCCTCTGGGAATTAGTTACCCTAAAGTGATTTACCTTGAATTGTTTAATTAGTGATCAAAAGGCGGACTTACTGTCCAGTTAAGTTGACTGCTTTTTCAGCTGGGGGAAGGGAAGGGGTCACGCCATTGGAACCCTTTCTCCTTCTTAAAAGTTTAAATAAAAAGACTGAACCAGTAACCAGGCCAACATTGTACTGTGGATCTTCCCCAATTGGTAGCCTTAAATATTTCCAACTACTTTCTTATTATAAATTCATTTATATCTCTGGCATTTTCTGTTTTTAGGTTAGGTCCTTTTGTATGCACTACCTTATCTTAAGTCCACATTTGGGGTTTAATCATGTGCTGTCCCACCAGGTCAGCAGTTACATTACCTGTTCACTGACGTCCACTGGTATACAAGACAATCCCAAGCTGCTTGGGTCCCACCTGATACCCTCATAGTGTTCGGGGCACAGCACCAGCCCAGAGGAGATGGGGCAGAAAACAATATTGAGGGATGTATACTGACCCATAAAATGAGGTGGTAAGATTGGGGAAGCCATTAAATATGGAATTGGAAACATAAGGAATAAAGGTACAGCTGTAATTATGTGTGACCTTAATGTACGTATAGATCAAGCAAATCAAATCAGTGACAGAGCTGGACAGGCAGAATTCCTGGAGTATGTACGAGATGGTTCTCTAGATCAATACATTGGAGAACCAACCAGAGAATAGGTCACCTTATACGGGGTACTGTGCAATAAGAAAGGAAAAATTGGTGACCTTGCTGTGTAAGGCCCTTGGTGCCTGTGTAACCATAATATGATAGAAGACTTCATTCTAAAGGAGAGTGACATAGTTGATTCTGAGACTCAGGCTCTGAATTTAAATAAAGGAAAGTATGATGGCATGAGGAGTTGGCTGGCTCTTACAAATTGGGAAACTCAAGGGATGAGAGTGGTGAGGCAATGGCAAACATTTAAAGAGTGCATGAAGAAACTGCAACAATTGTTCATTTCTGTCTGCCGCAAAAATAAAGCTGGAAAGGTTGCCTGACTATGGCTAACAAGAGAAATTAGGGGTAGAATTAGATCCAAGGAAGGGACATACATATTGACTCAGTTTTTAAAACAGAAAATGCTGCAGAAACTTAGCAGGTCTGACAGCATGTGTAGAGAGAGCAGAGTTAATGGTTTATGTTAACTCCGTTTCTCTCTCACAGATATTGCCAGACTATTGACTTTCTCTAGTGATTTCTTTTTGTGTTTCAGATCTCCAGCATTTGCCAAGTTTTGCTTTTACTGCCAAGTCAGCTAAGCATGACTGGCACTCCATCCACCACCTTAAACTTTTATTCCCTACACTGGCACAGTGAACCAATTCAAACAATTTTTATTTAACAGCACCTACAAAAAATGCAACCTCTATCAACTATAAAGAGAAAAGTAGCAGGTATATTGGTAAACTCATATCCTGGCATATCCCCCACTATGATCATGCCAGTACAGGAGGTACTGCCTAAAAAGGTGGGAACTTGGTGAAACTACAACATAGGACTACGAGGCGGCACGGTGGCTCAGTGGTGAGTACTGCTGTCTCACAGCACCAGGGACCCAGATTCAATTTCAGCCTCGGGCAACTGTCTGTGTGGAGTTTGCACGTTCTCCCCTTGTCTCAGTGAGATGCTCTTCGGAAGGTCGGTATGGACTCCATGGGCCAAATGGTCTGCTTCCACACCCTGTAGGAATTCTATGATACTTGTTTGCCAAACAGTGGAAAAAGCACATGACTGAAAAGGGTAAGTGATCTCACGTCTATGTTCTATCTAAGCTGCACGTGCAATCGTCCAAGGGTTTGTCCGTGCATAGCAATTGGTGTTCTTATGCCGTGTGCGGCACTGACTTCTCTGGAGGTCACCCACAGACCTTGGAGGTTTGCACAGAATAAATTTAAAGGGAGCACTATCCACAACCAAAGGCACAGCATTTTCAACATTATCTTCAAACAAAAGGGCCAAGAGGATGATCCGTTTCTGCCTCCTCCTGAGCCTGGCAACGGAGATATCAACTTTCAGAAAATTTGATTCACTCAATGGGATGTCAAGAAATGATTGAAGGTAATTGGCCTTGACAATATCCTGACAATAGTACTGAAGAATGTGCTCCAGAACCAACTATGTGCCTAGCCAGGGTATTCCAGCAGTTACAACATTCCCATATATCTGGCAATGTGACAAATTGTCCAGGTATGTCCTGTCCACAAAAAAGGAAGACAAATAGAATCCAGGTAATTGCTGCGCCAGTTTATACTCAATCATCAAAGCAGTAGAAGGTGTTCACAACAATGCTGTCAAGCATCACTTAGTCAAAAATAACCTGCACAACGATACGCAGTTTGAGTTCCACCAGAGCCAATCAGCCCCTGACAAATGATGGACTTGATCTGAATATGGATAAAAGCTAAACCCGAGAAAAGAGGTGAGGGTATCCGCCCTTGACATCAAGGCAGCCTTTTGTCCGAGTGTGGCATCATGGAGTCCAAGCAAGTTTGGAGTCAATAAGAAACGGGGAAAACTCTACTGCTCTGAGTGATACCTAACACAAAGGAAGATGATTGCGTTTGTTGGAGGTCAATCATTTTGGTCCCACAATGCCACTGCAGGAGCTCCTTAGGGTAGTGCCCTAGGCTGAATCACCTTCAGTTACTTCAATGACTTCCCTTTCATCATAAGGTTAGAGGTGGTGATGTCACATTCACTATCATTTGTAACTCCTCAGATACTGAAGCAGTCTATGCCGAAACATAGCAGAACCTTGGACAACATTCAGGCTTGGCATATGGCCAACAACATCTGCACCATACATTTACCAGACAGTTTCTCTCGATTGAGAGAGAGAATCCCACAATTATCCCTTGAAATTCAATGACATTGACATCTCTCAATCATTACATGGCAGACATCAAATGTCATCGGTATATTGGCAGCAAACTAGCCAGTCAGGCGACTAGACGATGCTACTGGCTCCATAAGGACAAAGCTGTGCCTTATGTCACACCAGAATCTATCAGGAACAGTTTTCAGAATTACCATAAAGCCAGAAGGAGCAGGTCTGCTCTTCCTGCCTCCACTTCAGATATTTCTGTTAAATGCTTACATTTTTTGGAAACTGCCTCCATCAGTCACTTTATTGAATATGGTTATGGTAATCTTGAATACTGCAAGTCTTGCACGTGCCAAAATGGTGGAAGGGAGAAAACTGTAGATGTAAGAGCTGCTCCTTTTTTGGAGGTTTTTTCAGTGTTGGAGCTGATTTCCTCGATTTCTTGGAGCAGTAATTACTGTTTTATAAGCTGGGGCTTTGTTTTTGGAACTTTGGAAAAAAATTCAAAGGAATGGTAGTTTAAATGGGAGAAAGAGATAGAGCATGGGAGACTGTTCAGAGAACTGCTCTAAAGTTCAGACCTGGTCCAATGGTCAAGGATGTCTCCGAGAGGGTGTAGAAGATTCTTAAAGGGGAGAGTGACCAGCAGGAGATCGTTGTACATGCTGATACTTACAACAAAGGAAGAAAAAAGGACAAGGTTCTGAGGAGAGAATATAGGAAATTAGGCAGGAAGTTAAAAAGCAGGCCTTCAAGGGTAGTAATATCTGATTTTACTCCCAGTGCCACGTGCTAGTGAGAGGAGGAATAAGGCAATACAGCAGATGAATGCGTGGCTAAGGAGCTGGTGCAGGGGGCAGGGATTCACATTTTTGGATCACTGCAATCTGTTCTGGGGTAGAGGTGGCCTGTATACGAAGGATGGGCTGCACCTGAATTGGAAAGCAACTAGTATACTGGTGGGGAGATTTGCTAGTGCTGCTCAGCAGGCTCTGAAAGTTCGGGGGAAGTAAAATGAGAAAAGAGGTAAGTCTGATGCTAGTACAGTTGAGAAAATGAGCAAGTCAAATAGTCAAGACAGGCAGGGGAAAAGCAAAGAATGAAGTGGGACTGAAAACTTAAACTGCATTTATTTCAATGCAAGAGGCCTGCCAGGTAAGGCAGATGAACTCAGCATAGTTCAGAACAGGTACTGGGATATCATAGCTATGAGAGAAACATGGCTCAGGGATGGACAGGACTGGCAGCTTAATGTTCCAAGGTATAGATGCCATAAGAAGGATAGAAAGGGAGGCAAAAGAAGAGGGAGAGTGTTGTTTTTGATTAGGGATAACAGTATGGTTGTAATTAGGGAGGATATTCTGGGGAGTACATCCAATGAAGTTATTTGGGTGGAACTGAGATATAAGAAAGGGAGGATCATCTTTTTGGAATTATACTAACAGGAAAGTACAAGGCTTTCTCTTGTAAAGTGGGTAGAACTCGCAGTTTGAGATATTGGATGATGACTAATATTGACATTTTATGAATCTGAGCCCTACAAGCAGTAAGGAGAAAAGTATAGCAAAAATGTGCACATGAAAATAGTAGCATTAATAAGAAAGAAAACAAGAAAATTATGATGTGGAGGTGCCGGTTTTGGACTTGGGTGGACAAGGTCAGAAATCACACGACAGCAGGTTATAGTCCAACAGGTTTATCTGAAAACATGCTTTTGGAGTATTACTCCCTCTTCAGGAGTTAGTGAGAGAGGTAGTATTAGACACAGAATTTATAAGTAAAAGATCAAAAGGGTCACACCACTGATGAGGATGTACTTAA